AGTTTAATTCCTTTCCCTCTATTGTTATCTGTCCTTTCTAATTTTCCTACAGTGACATATTGGATATTATTTGTGTGACAAAAATGTAACACAATTTTTAAAAATGACAATGATATTGAGTTCCCACAGTTTTAGCAAAATCCTAGGGTATATAGTTGCTCACAGAATCTGGAATCTGCATATTTCATGTATCTCACTGCAGCTGCGTAGAACTCCTTTTTAGATAGTTTCATGAGCATTTTAACGTGAGGGTGAGAATCAGGTTTCCGGGAGCTTCCGGGAGCTTCTCCATCTTCCCAGATGTCTCTAGTGTAATACTTTGAAAAGCTATTTTATTTTTTCCTCTAATATTGTTACCCCTCTTCCGGCTTCCGTACGACTTTTATTATTTTCATTATTTCACTTACCTTTTGATTTCATAAATGTGGGTATAAAATGGGTTTGGTTTTTATTAAGAATTAATTTTTTTCCAGGAGGTTTAATTCTAAAGTATGTGGACCATAAAGTACATTTTGTAAAATAATTCCCCACATAAATGTTGTTATACTTTACTTCTTAAAGATTAAAGATTTAAATTTATTTTCCTCAGAAAGCATCATAAAGGCCATATACCACGGCTTGAGGAAAATCAATATCTTTTTAAAGGGATACCATATTTGTTAAAAAGTGAATTGACTTTTTTTCATGGCTTTGTTGATTTCATGCCATTTTTGTTCAATTCTATTTGGTGAAATAATTTTTAGTACCTACTGAGCTCCTCTGTGAAAAATATTTCAGTGGTTACCAATGATTCATTAGCCAACATTTCAACAGGGTTATCCTTAGATTCGTAGCAACATTGAGAATTATGTTTGTTCCAACACATCTGTTATATTAGTCAGCTTTTAGGTCTCTATTTTGGGAATCTCAGAAACCATTTGACTGGGTTCAGATTATCTGTGAATTTTCATATTTTTTTATGGCCACCGGCTGCATTTTATGACTATATATTAAATCTTTTATTTTTTCAAATAACTTTTCCAAATGGTCTCAATTTCTAATCCCAGGGAAATCAGGCATATGCCCAAACATGTAGTGTTCAGCAAGTTACAGCTACCGTGAAACCCCAAATAAACGAAAAAGAAACAAAAATAAAACTCTTCTTTAGAAAGAAAAATGCCGTGTAAAATACTGGTGTGCCCAAAATCTACATGCCTGACCTTTTCCCATATCTATTCTTGGTAGGACATGCCTTCAGCTTTTAATTGGAACCCTTTTCATAATTGTTGCCATTTAATGCATTTAGTCTGTCAAATCATGGGATGTCTTTATAGCCATATAATAAACCCTAGAGAACAACTTCTCTGACTGTAGCCATCTGCAGTGATCACAAGAGTAGCTTACAAAATACTGACAGTCTTTCTGGTAATAGGATACATATGGCAGCCCACAATTATGTGTAGTTGCATTCAATTAGTGTTGTACAATTACACAGTTTTATTGCTTAGTTAGAACAGTGAAAGCACTACATACTGGGTAATTTGCACTAATCCCCATCTCTTTAATAGCCCCTCGGTGTTTAAAATGTGGGGGAACATCTATAGTATTTAAAGGGCCTGGGATGAACATTAAATTATATCTTATGTTGTGAATACTCTTTGATTGACAATTAATGTACTCCCACTTCATGTGTGGGTCATGTTTTATGGAGGCTTTAAAATATCATTATAGCAAAAAGTTCTTCATACATCAGAAGCCCACTGGCTGGATCAGGCTCTCCAAGCCTATCCTTGCAGTGTATTAATGTCCTTTCGGAAAGATAGTCAGAAGGTGGAGACATGCTGAGAACAAAGTCAGAATCGATTCAGAGAGTGATAGAAACCAAGGACTCAGCATTTAAATGTGAACTTGTTAGAAGCTTTTCCAGTTCCTAAGTTTTAATTAAAAACTTAGTTCGAAGTGAATTTATAGCTGCCATTTGGGAAAATACTTTCTGGAGATGGTTTTGTGAGGAGTGTGTGTGTGTGTGTCTGTGTGTGTGTGTGTGTGTGTGTGTGTGTGTGTTTGAAACAGATGTGTTTAGCAATCTGTGATTTTAGCAAAGTTTTAATTACATATGTAAATGGCCTCACTCATGCCCATCTGTAATTGGCTCCGTCAGAGCGAAGGGTGAGCCCAGCTCAGTTTGCAGCAGACACTAAGGGTGAGCCCAGTGGTGAGGTAGGTTCCTTATACCACTTAGGAATGGGGCTCTCCCACTGGAGGAGAGGAAACACTGGAATACATTCTTCTGTATCCTTCTTCCCAAGTGTTGACAGAGAAAAACCCAAAGCAACCTTGTTTCCTGCCCTGCCTGACAGTAAGTAAGTTAAACAGAATTCTAAATGAGAGGCCTGGACGTTTATTCACCTGCAAAAACATTTTGCTGAAGCATTTCTAATGTACATGTGTCTAGAAATGTTTTCAATTACATACATGGGTTAGGCCTTTGTCTCTGAGCTCTTATTGTCTCTCATAAGCGTCACTTTAAACCCCTTTATGTTCCTGAAAACTCTACTATACAGTTTTCAAAGCAAAAAAGGGGGGACATTGGAGAAGTGATTAAGGATGGAGAAAAACAACATTAAAATGATGGAGTCTATGTATTTTCTTTAAATGGTGTTCATTTATTTTAGAAGTATTATTACTTTTAGGTAATCTTTATTTTCTTTATTTTAGGTGAGATTTTTTTTAGTGCTTTTTTTCCCCCCTTAGTTATTGAAACTTTGAACTTTATTGCTCAGCTATATTGAATAAAATTGGCATATGGCTAGATGTGAAATGGAATTCCTATTAAGATGGAGATGCTCAAAAATAAACCTTTGCTACATGTAAGAGAATTACATGGTCGTATTCTGAATTAAAATGTGACTTATGATCAGATCTGCCAACATCTGCTTTTGTCCGTCATTTGAATCTAGTTAGGTGATTATAGATAGTATGTTTAGAAAAAAGCCACAAAATTCCTGTATAAATGGCGCTGTGTAAATTGAAATCTGCACAACCTTACAAAACATGCACCATGAATGTTTGGACCTAACAGAACATCAAAGCGAGAGATTATTTTCCATTTTAGAAAGGTTATTGGTAGCAAAATGGAGTTAAGGAAGTAAACAGTTCTGCTCTGTCTGGGGTCTACTAGATGTTTCCATCTCAGATTTCTTTTCATGAAAAAACATTTGCTTGTTATTTGGATGACCAGAGTGGCTGACATGCTAAGACTATGATTCAGAGATTTCTTTTCCTGAGAACCTTTAGGCTGGGTATGAGATTGTATTTGCATCTCTGATACCTCAAAGTTCCTAACTCAGACTTGTTCATGCTGACCAGGGATGGAAAGCTGCTTCATTAAAGTAGGGAGGACAGTGTCCATCCCAGATGACAACTGGGCAAAGCCACATCTGTGAGGGACATATGGCTGTCTTTGCCCTAACAACCCAAGTGCAGGTGACCCCACAAGCTTCTGGATGCCTGTCCGAGGGCAGCTCAAACTTGATCATGGTTAAGCCCTTAGTGAGAGGACTCCACGTTCTGAGTGTGGAGAAAATGTGAAAGCATATTTTCTGCCCAGAAAAGACACAGTCTATCCAGAGAGGAAGATCTGCCTGCCTACCTCTGCCAAAACAGTTAGATCCAAATGATCATTGCTGACACTGCGGCTTAGCTGGCCAAACATCTGTACTTCATGTTACAGTGAAATGGGAAGTTAATCTACTTTTTCCAAAGGAAGGCAGACACGGTGTGTGAACGGTAGCACACTCCTGATGTGTAGAGATGCACCTTGCTGTGCAAGAGGTTCAAACCGCTGTAGCAAGTCCAGATGATCATAGAGCAATAACAGAAGAACATACAGGCCTCAATTTGCTGGATGAATTATTTTGATGTATATGGAAAGCTTTGCCATTTCCTTGAGGCATCTCCTGGCGACTGCCTTTGCTGGGAATACTGGCCTTTTACTGTGGTTTTTCTTTTCTTTATTTTATTTTATTCCAATGGAGGGCACTGAATTAGAACTCTGAATGCCCTTCGATCTTTTCTTTGAAATAATAGAAGTTGTTTGGGATACTTTTTAGAGCAGATCCATTTGGTTTGATCATGAGCTAGAATTAAAGCGGTATAAATACTTGCCGATGGTCACATGTGTCCTTTTCTTGATTTGTTGGGTGAAAGACTGGAGACTTTTACTGCCTTAATAAGGAAACCTGGCCAGAATGCTGACTCTGCACCTGATAAATCTTTCCAAATTGCCACAGGTGAAATGCAATGTTAATATCCCTTTCAATTATTAATAAAAATATGTAAATAGATCTTGTTGGCAATATGGGGCACTGAAAATAAAGTATTTTAATATACTTGTAGACTTTTTGGTTCAATTACTAAAGAACTGCATGTTTAAAGCTTTTATGTATTTGAAGAGGTAATTATTTTTATAAATTGGAGATACTGCACAAGAGACTGTCTATATTTTATTGTTATGCAAATAAATTTTAATTGTAGAAAACATCAAATACAGATAAGCAAAAGGAAAAAATCTCTCCCATAATCTTACCACCCAGGGACAGACACACCAACACTGTTCTTTCAGACATTTTTCTTCGTATATATTTTTTCTTTAATAGACATTTTATGCAAACCAGTTTGAAAACTGCTGTCCTCACTTCCCAAACATAATTCATTTCAATAAATATAAACCCACATCACCATTTTAATGGTCTTATAGCATCCCACTGTATGAATGAATGCACAATTTATGAATGAAAAAAATGTAATGAATTTCCGTTGGTTGGTTGTCCACGTTTCCAATTCTGCAGTAACCTAAAGAAAGATATTCTTGTGTGTATATCCTTGCATAATTGCCTGATTTTTTTTTTTTACTTTATGATAAATACATTAAATTTAAAACACAGTGTCCCTCATTTCTTCAGGAAAGAGCTTTTGAGCTCTTGGTTTTAAGGCGATTTCACTTTTTACTTTTACTTTAGGTGTACGAACATCAAGATGGTAGCAAATCACTGAAGCTGGGCGACTTTGGGCTGGCCACCATTGTTGATGGCCCCCTGTACACAGTCTGTGGCACCCCAACATATGTGGCTCCGGAAATCATTGCAGAGACTGGGTAAATGCTTCTCGTGTGTTTATTGAAGTGCTGTGCTTGCACAAGAACTAGTCTGCTTCAAGAGTAGGAGAAATAGCACTGTTCTGTCCCACCCAAACAGAATTAGCTATCGGATTTCTTTCACTCTTTTTTTTAGCTTTAAAGTGGGAGCCGTTTTCTCTGTTTTCCCAATCAAGTTGCCAATTACTGCAATCTTGTTTAAGGCTTCCATTTGGCCTTTGTTAAAGGTAGAACAGCAGTTATTAACTCCAGAGTAAAAAATGTTCAGACTAACAGAGAAACATATAGCAATGGTAATTAACTAGCTTTTGGAGATAAAAGAAACAGACACTGCTGGGTGCGGTGATTACTGTCTCCTGTGGTTATTTCTCTCAGCTGTCCTTATTCTCCAGTCCCTGTCCCATTTTGGTCCTCTTGGTGGTCCATTGATTATCTGTGGAGTGCAAACAGCCTTAGGCATCGGAGGGCCACTGGGAATTGTCTGGTTTCTGTGGGCAACAGTATCAGGTGAATGAAAGTCTCTAGAATGGGGGAGAAGGCAAGGTGGCTTCGTACTTACTAAGGACCCCACTATATGCCAGGCCCTAAGCTCCTTTACTTAATTCTTACTCTTCCAGTAGATGATATGATTCTCGTTTTGTACATGAATAAACTCAGGCTCTGATGATTGAAGCATCATATATGCTCATGACTAGACAGTAGCAGAGTCAGCATTTGTACTCAGATGTGAATATAAGGCTCTTTCAGTAAAGAGCCCACTTCTTGCCAAGGATCATAGGCAGGGTTCTGAAGCACTGTCCTTAAACAGGATTGGGGATGAGTGAGGCAGAAAAGGGAGACAGCCCTATTTTTATCTCCCATGAGTAGCACCAACTCACACCTAATGGTCTGGGTTGTATCTTCCACTGTGACCAGTTGGAGATAGCTTTTCTGCTTGTACCAGAAAGGCAAAAATGCAGAACAAGTGAGAAGGGAATCCCAGTAGGGAAATCCCTAAGGTGAGATGTGAGGTAACGAGGACTTTTTTATTCATCAAATTTGAGTGAGTTGGGAGCTCACATCTATAGCGGTGCCTGACCCCCCGCAGAGGGTGCTGCCTCAGACAATGCTACATTTTCTGTTGTGAGTACTCTGACGGCCTGCTGGGAAGGAGTGGTGTGGGGTAGAAAGAGGATTTGTTTGGGCTCTTGAAGACCTTGGTTGGAATCCAGCTCTGCCACTAATGGTGTGATCTTGAGCAAAATTACTTCTCTCTCTGAACCTCGGTTTTCTCTTCTATAAAATAGGCAATAGTACTTATCCTCTACAACTTACAAGTTATTGAAAAAACAAAATAAGATAATGTATGTCAGTGCTTTATAAATTGGAAATGTCCTGTATGTAATTATTATTTCTAAAATTAGGAAGTTAGATAAATCTCAAGGGTCCATCCCTATCTTAAAATTGATATGACTCTAATAAACCTTTTTGCTGAAGCCCTTCACTTACAGATATTTGGATACGAGCCTAGGCATGCATTACTTTGATTTTTATTCGTGTGCCTTAGATGGCCTCTTTTTTTATTATTCTTTCCTTGAATTCTGTTTAGTCAAGGGGTTTTAGTTTAGTGTTTGTTGTTGGTTTTTTTGTTTGGTTTGGTTTGGGTTTTGGTTTAGAATAGGAGTCATCTGTTTTGCCATGCCCCATCATTTGTCCTGGCCTGACTTTGCTAACTCTAATGTCACTTACTTTTCCAGATATGGCCTCAAGGTGGACATCTGGGCAGCTGGTGTGATCACTTACATCCTGCTGTGTGGTTTCCCTCCGTTCCGTGGGTATGGGCAGCAATCTTTTATTCAGCACCAACAAAGCATTTCTCTATTCTCTGAATGGTCCATTCGGCCTTCTTGCACAAAGGAGCCTGCAGCAGGACAAGAACATAATCAGAACTTTACTTGCAATGCCTGTTATTTCTTCCATGTTGTGCATGCTAATTTACATGCCTTCCGTAAATCTTCCTCATGTACTTTAAAAACTCATTCTTTCTTAATTTACTAAAACAGTTCCGTATTGACATTTTGAATTGCTTAAAAACACACATTTTGCACACGTACGGGGGAAGGAAGGCTCCAGTGCGTAAGGAGGAGGCGACATACCGTGAGTTGACATTTGAGTGCTGTTTTTTCCTTGTTGTTGTCGTTCATCTGAACAGAAGTGGTGATGACCAGGAGGTGCTTTTTGATCAGATTTTGATGGGACAAGTGGACTTTCCTTCTCCGTACTGGGATAATGTTTCTGATTCTGCAAAGGTAGGTTTCCAGTGCCTTCCTCTTCCTTATAGCCTGTGTGTCTTAATGGAATTACTGATTCTGAATCACTGTGCACAAAGACACTAATGATATCATAAATATGATTTCCGTACACGTTTTAGTTGTAACGACTAGCTTTTCCAAGAGTTCAGAGTCATCAAGTTATCTGTTCAGAGCCATCCCAACTTATCATGTACCTTTGCTTCCCCGGCTACGTGTCTCTGTGTTGTCACTCCAGTTACATTGCTGCAGCCTCTTGCTATGCCCTACCCACGCAGGCTTGAGCCCACCGCGGATTTCTGCATAGCTTATTGTTTCACCTCTTGTTGTTTCACCACTATTGACTTAATATCATCTTTTCAATTAAGCTTTCCCAGACCACCCTGTTTTACAATGGAGGCTCTTAAACCCCACCTGGTCACACTCACCTTATCTTCCTTTGCTTTATTTTTCTCCATAACACTTACACTCTTACGTCCATCTGGTATACCATCTAACTACCTATCTTTATCTGTCTACCTATCTAGATAGATATAGATAGGTAGATACATCTTATACATCTTATTTATGTCATTTATTTTCTAACTCTCCTCACTAGAATGTAAATTCCATCAAGACAAGGATTTTTATCTATTTTGTTCACTGTTGTATCATCACTGCCTGAATAATAACTGGTGCTCAATGTATATTGAATGAATGAATAATTAAATGAATGTGTGAATTAAACAATTAGTAAATCAGTTAAAGTGGAGAAAGCTCAACATGGGTTGAAATGACCAAGAAAGACATGGGGAAGCTATGATTTAACATGGACCTTGAAAGCCAGCTACAATTTAGAGGCAGAGGGGAACAAGGCGTGTGGTTTTTTTTCCCCATTAAACTAAAGATCAACCTCTAAGAAAACTATAAAAATCTTACACTTGAGACGTTATAGACCCTGAGATAAAAGGTAAAACTTTTAAATCGATCTCTTAAACTTATGTCTCCAAGCATTGTCTTGAAGTTTTGAAAAACTGATATTGAAAAATAATTATCTTTTGATTATTCAGCCTTTCCTTTTGCTTGTCCTGAGTATGAGTTCAACTTAAAACCTGACTCCTTAGGCCTGGCCACTTTCCATAGAAAATGATGTATATTGGGCCCAAGTCTCATTTTCTTTAACTGTCCAGGAATCTACCTCTGGACCTAGGAAAATGTGGGATATTGAGAGAAGTGTCAAAGGAAAGGTACAAAGGTAAAAGGAGATGGGATGACACAGCTGCAGAGGTGGAGGTGGAGGTGTTGTCACTTGTAAGCAGGCTCTTCAGGAACCTGCCCAACTCTCAATGCCGTCACCCCATAACATGAGGGCTTGAAGACACTGACAGAAGGGACCATCTGCTGTACCACCATGGCACTTGGTAAAGGGCATCACACACAATGGTTGCTTTAATAAGTCCTGGCCCAAGTCAGAAAGTGAAGGTGGAATCTCTACATCAGTGGAAGTAAATTATCCCCATCACAGAGTGGTACTCAGAGCCTGTGAATGTAAGGAACTGGGTACCACGTATGTAACCATCTTGTTACGTGGGAATTGCTAATCCAAAGTAGATAGATGTATGAGAAACTCATTATTAAAACCCAAGCTGTGCTTTCTGGTCCAAATAAATTCGATCTCATGGGGAAGTTTCATTAATTTCTTAATTAATGAAATTACCTTAAATCATTTACCTCTTAATAGTTGTAGTTTATTTGTATTGATTGATCTTGAAATTTTTGAAGCAATTTTAACAGGTCTTTGGCTACTAAAGGATAGTTTCTGTTTTACCAGCTAGCTGTTGGCAATTCTCTATGTTTTCCCTCATTCTTTTCTTTCAAACCTAAATACGCCATCTTGCAGTTAGGAGGAAAAATTCTGTTTTTCCTTTCGGCTGCCAAAGTGAAAATTTAAAGTGTTTTTAAAATGTGATTTCTATATGAAAGTAATTTAGAAACCTGTCATTAAAGTGCAAAATCCTAGACAAAGAAAGGAATATTAATTCTTTAACTTGTGTAATTTATTTCTTTTCTACTAAAAACATTTTTATTTTGGTGAGGAAGATCAGGCCTGAGCTAACATCTGATGCCAATCCTCCTCTTTTTTGCTGAGGAAGATTGGCCCTGAGCTAACATCCGTGCCCATCTTCCTCTACTTTATGTGGGACGCCGCCACAGCATGGCTTGACAAGCGGTGCATCGGTGCGTGCCGGGGATCCAAACCTGTGAACCCTGGGCAGCTGAAGTGGAGTGCGCACACTTAACCGCTGACCCACTAGGCCAGCCCCTAAAAGCATTTTTTTATGAAATTAATTTTAATGTTAATTTCATTTTATTTTTTCTCTTAACTACAAGCTGTATGTTTATAATTCCAAATATTTACCTTTCCTTTAACTTTTAAAGGTGTTAGGTAGCTATGGGTAAGTTGAGTTGATATGTTAAAGATTTACAGCTTTTACAAATGCTTTTCCAAACTAAAAGACAACTTCTGCATTTGAAAATGCTCTGATTTTTACCTTACAAGTTAGACAAATGGAATGGAATGTTCCTTTTCACAGGAGCTCATTACCATGATGCTGTTGGTCGATGTCGATCAGCGATTTTCAGCCGTGCAGGTCCTTGAGCATCCCTGGGTTAACGTGAGTGACTTTCTCCCTTCCCTCTATTTACTCCTAATATTCCTTTTTAAAATTGCGGATCTCCTAATGATGTGGCCTCCTTTTTAAAGTGTTGTTTGTGTTTGTTCCTCCCCCTCAAATGTGCCAGGACGGGGTCTCAGACTTGTTCCATGAGGGCCTCTGTGTCTCAGTGCTCATGTGCATTCTCATGGTCCTTTGCACAAAGCATTTCATTTTATTCAGATGGAACTGCCTTCTACTGGGGAGGTGCACATGGTCGCGACCCCCCACTCCACAGACTGTGTTCTGTGGTCCAGACCAGAGCTGAATGATCGTCAATACAGGGCAGATTTTTTGAGTCAGTACTTTTTTGCATCATTTCTACCAAAAATATAAGTGACCCAAAGGTCTCTGCATAAGCCTTGGAGTATTCCAATGCAGCACTTCTCAAACTTGCATGTGCTTGCGAGTGACCTGGGGATCTCATTAAAATGCAGATTCTAATGTAGTAGGTCTGAGGCTCTGAATTTCTAAAAGCTTCCAGATGCTGCTGCTGCTGCTATTTGAGTACAAGGTTCTAGTGATATTTCTTTAGCTATGAAAGAATTCTCCCAAGTCATTATTTTTTAACCCTATATTTCTCTACAACTGATAGATAAGATTTATTTTGATTAACAATAATAGTAATTAATACTTATAGAGTGCTTAAGTTATAGAGTCTGCCCAGGACTATTAAGCACCTCACATGTATTGACTGGTTATGTTCTTCCTGGCAACTGTATAACCTAGGTACTATTGTAACCCCTGTTGACAGGTGTGGAAGCTCCATAACTAGGTTTAATGGTTCCTACTGCCAGAATAGAAGACACGTATCGATGTGGATATAGATATGGACAGGGACATAGACGTGGACAAGCATAAAATTGTTAGCTCTTTGACATGTTTTGCCAGCCTCCATACTGCTTTGAATAATCTGGCTGTAAGTTGAAGACCACAAAATGTTCCGCTTCTCTGAATTATCACCTTGGTGGTTAGTCAAGTGGTTTTTCCAAACTAACTCATTATTGAGGATCAGGTATGATTGAAATCACAGTGTTGAGACAGACTACAAGGGAGGTGACGGGAGCTTGATCTTGTTCGTGTTCTGCCATGTGATGGCCATGGGCCTAGGTTCCGGCACTTTACACATCTGAACCTGATTCCTCACACCCCACTGGGAGGTTATATACCTATGACAGGAGAATATATGTGAATGTGAGCATTTATAGATATGCGGCTAAGGTTTGTTTTAAATATTTTCTTATAGCAGAGCTTCCCACCTGGTGTACAATTGTGCAAAGATATTAACTCCCTCAGCCCCCAGGGTAGTCGAGCAGGGCAGCCAGAGTCCAGGAGTAGTCACTTCCAGCCTCAACAACCTTTGCATTTACCCCAGGGTGCTAAACAAAAATTATCCTTTACTATGAAGTGGGAAAGGTTAGGAAGCATCTCATGTAAGCCAAATAACAAGCCTAGAAGATAGGCAGGATGGGTATTATTGTACCCATTTTACAGATGAGGGGACTAAGGCTGTGGTGGGTGACTTGCCTGAAGTGGCCAAGTATGTGATTGAGCCAGAATTTGCAGCCATGTATCTTCACTCCAGGCCCAGGTGCTTTAAAGGCCTATGCACCATACTACATCTACTCTCCTTTCTATATACAAAAGCACTGCGAATATTGCAGAAGAGTGCAATGTGTACATTGTCATCATGATAATGATTGCTCATACAACCTTTGCAAAGTAACTCACCTTCGTCATGGCGCCTTTCCCTTACCTGGGCAGAGTGGAAGAGGCACAAGCCAGCTGCAGGCTCTCTTGGTGGCAACAGTTGGTTTTGACTCATCTACGTGCTAATTGAAAGCTCATAGCCCACAAATTGTCAAATTGCATGTTAGCCCTGGAAAGACCGAGAGGGTGACCACGCAGAATAAACTGGAAAACCTAAATTTGAAGTGTGGCCTTTGAAGGCTCATAAAGAGCCATAGAGGAAAGAGATTCATGGATTCATTTTAGATTTTTAAATGCATTTTCATTAGAGGGCCACTGCCTACCAGGCCCACCCTCCAGGAGCTCTATCTGATACAACCAGACAGTCACACATCAGTGGGAGAAGGGCTACCCCAGCCAGCCTCTGTGGGGAGGGTGCCATGGAAGTCTTCCTGGAGGAGGAGACGCCAGAGCTGCATCCTGGAGGAGGCTGGAAAGGCAATGTCCAGGAGAGCCAGCTCCAGCAGGATATGGATATTTTCTATAAGATAACTTTGTGAATGTGAGCCAATTTGTCTATATATGTGAGGGGCTGGAATGCTATTGGAAACAGCATAATCCCTTACCCTGATTCCAAACCAAATGACCCTACATCAATATATCCCAACCCAGTGGGGTAAAGAAACAACATTAAGAAGACTTTGGGATGTTACCTTTGAAAAACTAGGTTGCTCCTTTTCCTAGGGCAGCGTGTGCTGTCTCAGTAGTAACTTTCTGCCTTCTCGATCTGCCTTGCACACATTTTTGCACATGGTCCCACTTTGCTGATAATTAGGTTCCAGAGCTCGCTCTGGAACTTGGACTTCTGCTATCATTTTAGTTTTCCCTCCCAGATTCCCTAAAAACATTTCCTAAAAGCAAGGATAACATTTAAGGAATTATCTAGGAGATTTAAAACTAAAAACTACCCTTTATGTAATTCTAACAGATCTTAGATTCTAAGGGGAAAAAAATACTGATTTTAGCAAAAAATGTATAAAGTGATTGCTTAACTTTTGAAATTATATTTATGTAGTAGTTACATTAGAAAACTGATTATTTTTTGTCACAAAATAATAAATGAAAAAAACGTATATAAGCTTTCACAATCACCATTTAGTATTTGTTGAGGTCTCTGAGTGCAACAAATGAACAACCAAGCAATCAAAATAAATAAATTAGGAATTTAAAAGGAAGTCCATTTAACGAGACATTTCACATTTGGCAATCAAATTAATCTGATCACCACAAAGGATGCTACCTAAGGGAGGAAAAGGTAATAATTGTATGAGCCTTAAGGAAGTCATCAGAAGGCTCTTCCTGTGCTCTCATTTGTCCTAATTTTCTCTATTGCTTATACGATGACCTTTTCACCTGGTGCACTTGGAATTGAAGAGGCAGTCTCGTATGAAACAGAGAGTAGTGCGTGAGGGCAATAGAATGGAAAAATCTAGTCAGCAAAAGTCACTCGTTTTAACCTTACTCCAGGAGTTTCCTTTAGGCTCACATTTATTTTTCATACACTCTGGGTGAGAATCCCACCATGCTCCTTGGTGTCCTGGACTTCTGCTCTGTTATCAGAAGAGTCATGATCAAGGTCTCTCAGTGGATGGTTCTAGCAAGCCAATGCACAAAAGCAGCATCAATGTGCAGCCAGGTGTCTAAGAGAGGAATGTAGACTCCCAGAAGGAGCACCAGCTCGCTTGCCTGTGTAATCTTGGGATGGTCATTTTACTCCTTTGAACCTGCTTTTCTGTCTGTGAAATGGAGATAATAGAACCAACCTCTCAGGTTGTTATGAGGATGGAGAGAGGATTGTATATTTGAAGGGCCTGAGAGGACAATCTTAAACACTAGTGCTCTGTAGCTACTTGATAAATATTTGGGGAATTTGAGACTGAGAGAGGCAACAACTCTATCTTCCTTTGCTGTGTGCTGATGAAATGCAAATTGTGATCCATGTTGGCATATGAGAAGCTTGATTAAGGAGGAAAACCCTCTCATCCAAAAAAAAAAAGATCTTGTTTGTGTGCTCCAAGATCCATGTAGATAATATGTGCATTATCAGCTCTGGGGCATTCTCCATATCACAGCTATTTCCTTTTTTTGTTTTTCTTTTGTTTTTTTTTTTGGTGAGGAAGATTAGCCCTGAACTAACATCTGTTGCCAATCCTCCTCTTTTTGCTGAGGAAGATTGGCCCTGGGCTAACATCCGTGCCCATCTTCCTCTACTTTATATGTGGGATGCCTGCAACAGCGTGGCTTGACAAGTGGTGCATGGGTCTGTGCCCGGGATCCAAACCCACAAACCCCAGGCTGCTGAAGGGGAGTGCATGAACTTAATCACTATGCCACTAGGCCAGCCCCTATTTCCTTCAACATAGCTGCAAAATACCAAAAGGAATTGTCCTAGCTAAGTTTATTACCTTATTATTCATCTAGTGGAGAACCGTATAATTTAGGCACATGTAGTAAGAGAATGGAATAGGCATAATATAATAATCTTGATCATTTCAGGAACTGGGGAGAAGGTTGAGTCACTTTCCCCCTCAATGACACTTTGTTGATAGAAAATGTAGGTTAGTGATAAGTTCATAAGCTTAATTGACATTTCCAAAAAAATTCTTATTCGTAATTAGGATTAAATTGTCACTATTGTAATATTTCAAATATATTACTATTATTGCATTTTTATTGAAAAGCGTTGACCTACTTTATCCCACATTGTTCCCTTGATACTAGGATGAAGCTCCATCTCAATGCTATAATTCTACAAATCTGTGTTTTACCTCCAGTTATCTTCCTGATTTTACTGGTGAGGAAACTGAGGCTCAAAAAGTCTCTAGCATGAAACTCAGTGGAGTCCCTAGCACAAGGTCCAACGCCTGGGTTTTGCTCCTAGAGATGCTGACTGATCTGCACTGGCATCTGGGCATCAGGAATTTTAAAAGCTCCCAGGTGATTATAATGTGAAACCAAGAGTGAGCACTCGGCCCTAGTGGAAAGGACTGGTTGAAGTAAGTCAAGTACAGTTATTTAGCTGATTCAAGACTTCCTCTTACTTCCTGGCCTTTAAGTTTTATTTTACCTCCTTTATCTCACCTGCCTACTCTTTTGAAAAGATGCTACTAAGCCAAGATACTAAAAAAATCGAAGAACAAGAGGAAGAAGTAAAACAAAAGCCTGGATAATCTACCAAGATATTCCATGCTAATTAAAATCAGCCCTACCCA